CAGAGGTGGGGGGACAGGGAGAGGTCAGGGAACAGGAGCAGATGTGGGGAGACAGGAACAGAGATGGGGGACAGGAGTGGAGGTGGTGGGGACAGGAGCAGAGATGGAGGGACAGGAGCAGAGGTGAGGGGACAGGAGCAGAGGTGAAGGGGACAATGGAGGGGGGGTCAGGAGGGAAGGGAACGGGAACGGGGAGGGAGTGGAGGACCGGAGGCCGACGGAGGTGGCCGCACGTCAGAGGGTGGTTCAGGAGGCACGGGGCGGGGGGCACTCACGATCTGGGGGTCTGTGACGACACCGCTGCTGTAGGTGGTGGTGAGTGTGGAGGCGCAGGCCTCGCTGTACCAGGGGACGCGGCCCTGCTGGGTGGCGCTGCCCACCGACAGCGTGTGGATGCTGTTGGTGTAGCCGTCACAGTTGCAGTTGTCATAGTACAGCCCGCCGTTGCCCGACGCCCAGACGAACAGGGTGCCCAGCCCGCCGCGGCCCTGCGGGGAGCCGGTAGGTGTCGGCGCCTCGAGGGCACGGCCTCCCCTTCCCTCGCCGCCCCGGCCCCCCCCGCGCACCTTGGTCACACCGCGCTGGAAGGCCTCCCGGGTGAGGATGCCGGGCCCGTCCACCGTGCGGCCGTCGTCCTCGGGGCCCCAGCTGGCACTGTAGATGTGGATGTGCTGCGGCTGCAGGCTCAGAGACTGGGCCTCGATGATGTCTGTGATGGTGCCGTCCAGCATGCGCACGCCTGCGGCGCCCAGCAGCTCGGTGCAGCCGTGCCGTGCCCGGCGCCGCCGAAGCCGGCACCCTGCCCCCGGCTGCCGGAGCCCTCACCGCACCCGCCCGTGATCTCAACCTGCTCCTGCCACCAGAGCCTGCACCCCGTACCTGATCGCCAAAGCCCACAACACACTCGCCCATGATCTCAACCTGCTCCTGCCACCGGAGCCCGCCACACGCTCGCCCATGATCTCCACCTGCTCCTGCCACCGGAGCCCGCCACACACTCGCCCATGATCTCCACCTGCTCCTGCCACCGGAGCCCGCACCCCGTACCTGACCGCTGGAGCCCGCAACACGCCGGCCCGTGATCTCATCCTGCATCTACTCCCAGAGCCTGCACCCCACACCTGCCTGCCGGCACCCACACCACACCAGCCCGTGATCTCAGCCCGCACCTGCCCATGCCAATCCCCCCTTCCAGGCTAACTCCAGCCCGCCCCTGGTCCCAGGTCCCTCTCTCTGGCCCCTGGGAGTTGTGGGGGGATCCTGGTTGGGCTCAGCTCTCCCACCCCACTTCAGCCTCGGGGCCGTGGCATCACCCTCCACCTCGGACCTGGCTACTGAGTCTCCCCCCAACCCCATGTTGAGCTGTCTGCCCGCTGTCCCTGGCCGGGGTGGCGCCTCGGTGGCTTGGGTACCTCCAATTCGGGCGTTGTAGGCGACGCCAGCACCGCAGAACCCGTTGTTGGCGATAGCGGCCACCTCCCCAGCACATCGGGTCCCGTGTCTGGTACCAGGGCAAGAGGGGCCCCGTCACAGCCCAGCCACTCCCACAGGCCAGGGGGGCTGCCCCCGTGCCCCGTGAGACCCTGGCTCACCGGTTCTCATCGCTGGATGTATACCGAGGCTGGGGGTCTGGGTCATAGTCATTAAAGTCGTAGCTGGCCAAAGGGTCCTGTAGGGGGTGGGTTGGGGAGGTCAAGGGGTGTGGGGAGTGGCAGTTCTAGGGTGGGGCTCTCCACCCCCACCCCACCACCCCACCACCGCCCACAGCGGCCCTCAGGCTCACGTAGTTGGCCCAGAGGTCCGGGTGGTCCTTCTCGATTCCGTCGTCGAGAACAGAGACCACGACACCCTGGCCCGACAGCCCCTGGCCCCACACCTGCAGGATGTTCAGGTCGGGCTGCACCTCGTTGTTCTGCGTGGAGCAGAGAGGGGCTCAGTGGGGTTCCGGCCCGGCCACCCCCCAGCCCCGGCCCGGCAGCTCACCATGTACCACTGCTTGGGGAACCAGGGGTCCGTGGGCACTGCCAGGGAGCGCTTCACCCGCCGTCGCAGCGTCTGCTGCTCGAACCACTGCACCTGGAGGGGGCGCCGCGGGAGGGGCTGGGCGGGATCCCCAGGGCCTCTGAGCCCCTTCCTCCCTGGTCTGCCTCTGACCATGCCCCACCCTATGGGGCAGGCAGTCTGGGGGGCCTGAGTCCTCCCCACCCAGCCAAACAGCCCCCTAGGTCTGCTGGTGGGAGCCCCCTGGGTCCCCGAGGGGCGAGGGGACAACTGTTAGGGGGCTGTGCGGGCCGGACTGCTCAGGGCTTGCAGCTGGGGCCCCTCATGCCGTGGGACAGAGCTGGGGCAGGAAGGGGGGCGGGAGGGCTGCGGGCCGCAGTGTGGCCCTCGCCCTGGGACCCCCGCATTTGGTGAGCCAGCTCTTTGGGGTCCCCACTCGCCTGGGGCTCTGCCTTCAGCCACAGGGGGCTGCAGCCCTCGGAGCGGCCATCTTTAGGGCCCACGGTATGGGGCCACTGGCCAGGGTGGCTGGTCCTCCTCGGGTACCCGCCCTGCCCTTTTCTCCTGACTCACTCCTCTAACCAGCTGCTTCTCTCTACCCACCCGCCACCCAGCACGGTCCCGACCACCCTGTGATGGCCACGCTCACCTCCTCCCTGAGCCCAGCTGCCTTTCTGTCCCCCTATCACCTCTCTCTTCAGCACGGCAGCATGACGCCCTGTCTAAATCCTATCACCCTCGCCTGAAGGCCCTGCGTGTCCAGTTCTGGCTGCCTGGGTGGCTCTTCCTCAGACACTTGCTCTTCCCTCATCTTCCCTTCTTCATCTCCCACCCCCCAAACCAACCCCCATCCCCATCAATCAGACCACCATCTTTCCAGCTGCTGATCCGAGCTGGCCCTGATTTCTCTCACTGTCCCCAACGTCCCGGCCAGCAGCAAGTCCTGGCCTGTCTCCTACAGACCACATCATGGACTGGCCACTTCTCTCCATCCCCTTCATGGCCCCCCAAGGCCTGCCAGGCTCAGTCTCAACTCCTCTGCTAGGCATTCGAGGCCTTCTCAATGGGGACCCAGCCCCAACTGGATCAGGCACCCCTCTGGGCATTTGGAGACTGAGTTCTGGTTTCAGATCAGCCACTGACTCATTGGGTGACTTCAGGCAGGTCCCCAACCCTTTGGAATTATATCCTCTTTTGTAAAATGGGTCAGTTGCCCTCCCACCATCCCGGGAGCTATAGGGTACCGGAGTACCTGGGGCCCTTGATCATTCAGGGTGAGCTAGAGGAGGGAAAGGGGATCCCATGCCAGGCCCTGGGTTAAAAACCACACATTACCACAAAGAGACAGAAAGGGCCACATAAACCAGAGACTCCATCAGCCTGAGGCCAGAACTAGATGCTGCCTGGCTATCACCAATGAGCGCCCTGACAGGGAACACAGCAGAAAGTCCCTGACGGAGCAGGAGAAAAGTGGGGTGCCAGAACTCAAATTCTAGTAAAAAGACCAGACTTAATGGTCTGACTGAGACTGGAGGGACCCCAGAAGACATGGCCTCCGGACTCTCTGTTAGCCCAAAACGAAAACCATTCCCGAAGCCAACTCTTCAGACAAAGATCAGACTGGACTATGAACTATGGGACATAAAATGATACTTGTGAAGAGTGTGCTTCTTAGCTCAAGTAGATACATGAGACTAAATAGGCAGCTCCTGCCCGGAGGGGAGAGGAGAAGGGAGAGAGGGCCAGGAGCTGGCTGAATGGACACGGGAAATCTGGGGTGGAAAGGAGGAGTGTGCTGTCACAGTATAGGAAGAGCAATTAGGGTCACATAGCAATGTGTGTATAAATTTTTGTAGGAGAGACTAACTTGAGTTGTAAACTTTCACTTAAAGCACAAAGCCCACAATTACCACAGTTGCTTGATATAGCCTCCCTTCCCGAACTGGGTCCCCATTGTATAGACATGGAAACTGAGGCTCAGAGAGGGTAGGTCATCACAATCACAAGAATGACAGAAAGTGGCTGGCTGGCCCCCAGGAGTTAGTCGAGGCCCCGAGGGGACAGCCTGGGGGCGGGGCTCACCTTGGGATCTTTCTTGAGGCGCAGGCAGTGACCCCAGTGCGGGCTCAGGGACCGCTGGGCCACGCCGCGGTGCCGCAGGTGGAAGTACTGTCCGTCAGCGAAGATCTGGGAATGTGGGGGGTGGGGGAGCAACATCGCTGGGACTGGGGCACCCCTCCTGGAGCCTCCCCAAGTATAGGGACAAAGCCCCCTGTTCTTGCATCCCCCCCCAGCCAGATGCCCAGGTGGGGGCTTCAGGTGCTTTCTGGGAATCTCGGAATCTGCAGTTGGCCGAGTCAGGGGTGGGCTGAGAGTCTTGATATCTGGGGGGGTGTCTGGAGGACCTCCTCCCAGCTGTCTTGGTTCTGGGGTCGTCCAGCCCCCTCCCCCTTCCCGTCCATCCGGGTCCCTCCCACCTGCCCCAGGTTGATGAAGCCGAACTTGCGCGCTAGGCGTTCGACCTCCCGGTTTCCCTGGGACACCCGTACGGCCCAGCTGCTGACATAGATCGGGGCCCGGGCCGAGGCCCACCCCACAGCCAGGGGGTCGACGAGGGCCAGGCCCAGGGCCAAGGCCAGGCGCAGCCAGAGCGTAGTCCGGGCGGGCCGCATAGGGGCGGGGCCGCGGCGGGGGCGGGGCCTGCGGGAGCCCCTACCCGTGGCCAAACGGCCCTAGCGCCCGCCTCCCCGCCCCTGGCGCCATAGCAACCCTGAAGGGTCTTCAACTCCCAGGGGTCCTTGCAGCTCCCCCGTGAAGGGGCGCGAAGATCCGACGGTGGTGGTGGGGGAGACACATGTCCGCTTCAGGGGACACATGCCTGTCCCGGATCTTCCGCGGGAGCCAACCTTCTGGGTCCTCAGTTTCCCCATTTGTACGGTGACCCGAATCTGACCCTACAGGAGCAAGTTTACTGTTGCTACCCTTGGCCTCCCCCCTTTATTTGGCACCTCCCACTTTCCTAAGTTCCTCTCTTTCTCGAATCAGCCCGCTTCCTCTCTGGTCCAATCAGAGTTGTCCTCTCCAGTTAGCCCCGCCCAGTCCCCCCCCCCCGTTGCGCCCCGCCTCCTTTATGATCAACCCCGCCCGAAACCTTCCGGTTTCTCCAATCAGCTCCGGCCTGTCTCCATCAAGCTCCACCCACCCCAGCACGCTTCTCTCCCTCCAGCTCCACCCCCCGGCCCCACCTCTCCAATCAGCTACGTCCTTCGCCCGGCTGGCCAATCGGCGCCCTCCGCCGCCGCGCCCCGCCCCCTCCCGCCCGCTTCGCGGCTGCGGCGGCCGCGGCCCGCCAGAGGGCGATGCGGCGAGGAGGACGGGGCAGGCCCCACCTCCTTTGTCCGCCCTGCCCTCCCATTGGCCGGAGCGGGGGCGGCCGGCGGTGCTGGGCGAGCCCGGCGCGCTCGCAGCTAGCCGGGAGCGCCGGGCGGCAGTCAAGCTCGGGCTGCCAGCCCCGGCGCCGCTGCCATGGACGGTCTGCGACAGCGCTTCGAGCGGCTTCTGGAACGGAGGAACCTGGCCACCGAGGTGCTCGGGGCGCTCGAAACCAGGACCGGTGTCGAGAAGCGGTATTTGGCCGCGGGTGAGCCGTCGGGGGACTCTGGGGGCCGCCGCCCCATTATACCGACGGGCACACTGAGGTCCTGGGGCCCCGGGATATCGAAGCTGGCTCCTTCCGACCGACTCCGGCTGCAGGGCGCGCCCCACTGTCCAGGGGGGGAGCCGAGGTCTTGGGGAGGGGCCTCGCGTCGGGGTCTGGGGGCTGCCCCGAGCCCTTTCCTGCCCTGCCTCCGCGAGGGCCACCCCTCGCTCAGCCCCAGCAGCACCCCTACTCCACCCTCGGTGCCTGGCCTGGTCTGAAGTCCGTCCTCTGCTCCCTTGGGGCCCTGGGTGTCCGCCAGGACCAAGTCTGGTTCTTCCAGTTGCCCAGGGGGCCTCGAGGGAGGAGGAGGCAGACTCGGCTGCCACTCCCCCTTCCTGCATGAACCCCAGCCTGGAAGCAGTGTAGAGATCTCCCCGTGTTTCTAAGGGCAACCTCAAGGTCAGGTGGGGAAGGGACACTCTGAGTTCCCCTCCCATTCTTTGTGGGCACAGTACCTCCGTCTTGACCTGCCCTCTCCCCTCTCTCTAGCTCTGGGGCTCGGCACTGCGTAAATATTTGCCGAGTTGGAGTTGGGTTGTCTGACAGCCGCCCTGGCTTGGCGGAGATATTAGACTGAGGCCGCCCATGGACGGGAGAGGTCCAACCCCAACCCAGTTCTAACTTCCATTCCAGTTCCTTGTGTGATCTTGGGTGGCCTGTGCCCCTCTCTGAAAATCTCTTGTCTCTCTCCCTGCGTCTTTTTTTTTCTGGTGTCCAGGGCTCGCCTCCTCCAGGAAGCCCTCCTGGAATGGGTCACAAGGATGCTTTGTCTGGACCCTCGGGGGAGAGGGCAGTCCACTGAGGCCACTGCCACGTTTTTTAAACACCTCTGGGTGCAGATTCTGGGAGCCCGACTCCTCCCTCCTTCCTGCCACCAGGGAGGGTCTCTATCCCTGACCCCAGAGGCCCCCTGTGGGGCTCAGTCGGGTGCAGGCCCTGACCTCTGTCCTACTTTCTTCATCTCTGGCACCAGTGGGCGGGAATTCAGGTCAGGGAGTGCAGGGAGGGAGCAGCTGGGAGGGCCCAGCTGGGGAGTGGGGGAGGGAACTGTGGTCCAGGGAGGTGGGGGCTGTGTGTGAGGCAACCCCTGCTGCCCGCCCGGCCTGGAGCACCCCTCCACCTGCCGCCGGGTCCCATCTGTTGCTGATCCCCGGGGCAGCACCCCTAGTCTTAACGTCCAAGATCATCCTCTCAATGCTGAGGCTGCAGGAAAAGGAATTTGGGGGCCAGTCCCCCACTCCCTTGAACAGACGGGGGTACCCTTGGGCCCCACCCTGCCCCACATTGCCAGATCTCACCCAGTTGGTGAATGTGTGCAAGCACCGTCCCCACTGCCCTCCTCTGTGGATCGGCCCCCGAGATTACAGATGGGGAAACTGAGGCTCAGAAGAGGCAGTGAGCAGGAGGTCTTTCCTAGGGCCACCTGGGGAGCCCTTGTCCCTAGTGCCACCCTGCTGCTGACCTTGGTCCTTTGAGGACAGAGATTAGTGCAGGTGGAGGGAAGGAAGGGGGGTGACTTAGGTCTCTGTCCTTTGGCCCGAGAAGTGGCCTCCGTCTCCCTCTGCAGATAAAGGCCTGGGTAAGGCAGGAGGCGGCCTCAGTGAGCTCCCTGCTTCCCAGAGGCTCCCTGGAACCTTGAGCAACCCCCCACCCCACCTCTGTTTTGTTCTGGCCATTCAGTGAGAAAAGGCAGGGGAAGCACCCCACACACAGTAAGCGCTTAATAAATGCAGCATTTAGTAGTAGTATTTTCAGAGTCAGGTTCAGCGTCGTGGCTCAGGCTCCTGGCTCCCTCTCACCCCCAATACACACACACTTTTCCTCTGCACCCCCAAAGCTGGGAGTGTCTGCCAGCCACTACTGTGTGCGGCAGGCAGCCAGTAAGTGAGCAGAGAGGAGAAGGCATTCTCTCAGTGAACCCGAAAGCAACCCTAGGAGGCAGGACCCATTACTGCCCCATTCGCAGATGGGAAACTGAGGCACCGGCAGAGAGGGACTTGCTGGGTGCCACGTGGTGAGTGAGGAGGAAAGTAGAGGTTTCCCCCAGGTCGGGGGACTCCAGATCCCCAACTGGGCTTTGCTGCCTCCCACCATGCCCGCGGCTCTCACCGGGGGCTACTCTGCCCCCCGGCAGACGCACTGTGATGTCTCGGGACTTTGGGTTTTCATGACTGGGCGGGGGTGGTGGTGGTGCTGCGGGGATGCTGTTCAACACCCTACAGTGCACAGGACGCCCCCACCCCAAAGAAGGATCCGGCCCTCCTGTCAGCAGCGCCCAAGGGGGAGAGTCCGAGTGAATTGTTTGTAAAGACGTTGAGTTCCGTCCCTGCTTGAAAAACAAGAACACCTGTGGTTGAGTCGATTCCGATTCACAGCGAGCCTATAGGACAGAGTAGGACTTCCCCATAGGATTTACAGAGGCAGACTGCCACGTCTTTCTCCCGAGGAGCGGCTGGTGGGTTCGAACCAGCGACCTTTCAGTTAGCAGCCAAGTGCTTAACCTCTGCCCTGCCAGAATAAATTCCCCATGGGCAGGGGGACCCTCCAGCTTCTGCAACTTCCCTCCCTCTCCTCCCTACTCAGTGTGTGGATTTAAACGTGGGCAGCGTCCTAGGAAGTTAGTTGGTCAGATGATTATGGGACGCAGCCTCTTGGGGGTCTGTGAGATCCCCTAACTCAAGGGTTCTCACCTGGGGGCGATTCTGCCCCCGGGGAACACTTGTCAATGTCTGGGCACATTCGTGGTTGTCACGACCTGGGGGTGTGCTATTGGCATCGAGTGGTTGGAAGCCAGGGATGCTGCCCAACACCCGACAGTGCACAGGATGGCCCCCACCCCAGAAGAGGAACCAGCCCCATGTCAGCAGTGCCGAGGGGGGGACCCTGCATTAAGTTTAAAAAAAAAAAGAACCAGAAGGGTGTTGCCTTCCCCAGCTCAAGAGGAGTCGTCTTAATGACAGAGCATCCTGCTTGTGGACTTCTCTCTTATCCCCTTATGTTCAAACATGGCCTCTTGCCCCCAGTGCCCCTCATCCCACCTGGAGTAGTGGGACCGTTACAACTGCAGACAATCACTCATTCACCCAGATGTCTCTTGGGCAGTGACCCTGTGCCCCCACTGCTGGGCACTCGGGGTCACCAAGGGCCACACTCCCCGCCTGCCTCTGGGAGGTCACAGCCCCGGTCGGGGGGTGGGGGCAGACACGTTCACCCGTTCCAGACATGAGACGCGAGGCTTGGAGCCGGGAGGGGGCTGCCCGTGGCCACCGGGGCTCCTAGAGCGCCCTTGAGCTGCCACCCAGGAGGCAGTGATAGTCGCAGATCACTGCGTCCGCCAGGCGGATGGAGGCCCTGGTGCTCCAGGGAGCCCTGGGTGCCCCAGGCCTGCACCCACGCCCCCCTCTCGTCTCAGGAGTCATGTTGCTGTTAGGCCTATATCTTCTATTCGGCTACGGGGCATCTCTGCTGTGCGGTCTCATCGGCTTTGTATACCCCGCATATGCTTCGTGAGTGCCCAGGTCAGGGGATAGGGGGCGGGGGGTGCCGGGCAGGGAGTGGGGCACCGGGCGGGGTGTGCCGGACAAGGGGTGCCAGGCAGGGGGCAGGGCAGCCCCTGACCAGCGCCCCCGCCCCCCAGAATCAAGGCTATCGAGAGTCCAAGCAAAGAGGACGACACTTTGTGGCTCATCTACTGGGTGGTGTACGGCCTCTTCGGGCTGCTCGAATCTGTCAGCGATCTGCTCCTGTTCTGGTTCCCTTTCTACTACGTGGGCAAGGTGGCGCTGCCAGTGGGGAGCGGGCTCCCCGGGGAGGCTAGCAGATTGGGGGGGGCAGGCCTACCTTCTGGAGGGTGAGCGCGGAGACCCAGGTCCACCCCAAAGGGTATCTGATGGTACAGAACCAGTGCCTGTCCCAGCGATGTCTGACGGGGGAGGCCCAGGCCTGCTCCAGGGGGCGTCTGACGGGGGAGGC